TTTTGTACTATACATTTAAACATGGTTTTCATTGAGTTAATGCTCATGTGACTGCTGAACTGGCGATCAGGTGTGGGCTGTTTCTCCAGGGTTACTTTTGAAGCTCTGATTTGATAAAAATGGTGGTAACTTTCATCTGAGTTAATCATTTTTCAAAGAAAGACATTTAAAGTCGTATAGATTTTTTATAGCATTTCATTTTTTATACAACAATAAATTGTTAGTTTGATTCTTTGTTCCTCCAGCACCTCTAAAAGCAAACCTACAGTCTTGGGTCGGCTGCTGAACACCATATATGATGACACCATCTTTGGTCTACAATTAGGAGAGCTGCATCACTAACACAATTTTTGCTGTTTTGTTTTTTAGGTTATTTGTAATTTTATGTGGTGCTTTTACACTGCCATCTTGGCCAGGACCCCCTAGTAAATGAGATTCAAAATCGCAATGGGATTATCCTGGTTTAAAAAATAAATAAATAAATAGAACCATCCAATCACAGCCCTTAGCTCTACTACATCACACAGCAACCAGCCAATCAGAGATCTGGCATGAATGGCACCATATAACAACAACAAGCACTGGCCTCAATCATTTAAAACAAGAACCAGTCAATCCCCATATCATAGTTTTGACTTCGTCAATCAAAGATGAGAATACTTTGAAATACAGAATACAGAAATCCAATCATATTCATTGATTGGATTTCCATAGTAAAACACACTGAAACACAAGCTTTGTATTTCGGTCAAATATACCACAGTATACCTCAAATACACTCACATGTACATCTCTTAATGTGCAGACACACTGCATTAATTACACATGTGACACACATACATGTACATACCCCTACACACACACACACACACACACAGGATGTGTACTCTGTAGAGTATCAAGCTGAGAGTTGGGCATTGTAGATTTATTGATGTGTGTATTTGTTTGTGCAGGTGTTTGAAGGTAATTGAATGGAGAGTTTAAAAGTGTGTATATATACCTGTTTTATTGTGTGTGGTGCCAAATACCCACACTGTATTTATGTGTGTGTGTGGCTGGGTTTGTGTTTGTTTCAAGGTAACAAAATAATATGTCTAATCCAACGGTGTGTTTGTGTGTTATTCTTATCTGCTCTCACACACTGTATCCCAAGGCTACTTAGACTGCTATCCTGCTGGTTTACACACACACACACACACACACACGCACACACACACATTTTTGCATGCACCTTTCTTCCAGATTTAACGGAAGATGAAAATTCAATGCTGTATTAAATATGAAATAGGTTCAAATACACAAAGACACATGGTTGGTGCACACACAGTGTGATGTGTCAGTAAAGCCACGCTACATCACAACAAAGGTGTGATAAGAAGACCAAACTCGCCACTATAGTTTGATCAGAGTGACATCTCTGCATTTTGTTTTGGGGGAAATGTTCAGTTATAGGTTAAGAAACTCTACTGTCAACTAAATAAAACTATACAATCCATTCGATTGGCTGAATTATGCATTGGGGTTCACGCAAGAACCACTGCTACAGGTTTGTTGCATGGCATGTACAAGCTCATATTTTTTTAATATATACGCACAGAGGTACAAAAACAATTCACAAGAGGTTCAGACCTTGACAACCAAGTCACCTACAGATAAAACCTGCAAGGGGAAAATATGTATACATTTCAGTCATGGCTGAATAATTCTCTTACTCCGACACCTTCCGCAGGCTATCTAGTCTATTAAATTTATTTATATTAGGTACCACGGATTAAAATTAAATTAAAAAAATAGGAAAAGACCACATTTAGTTACTAGCTTATTTCTATATTTAGTCCCCCTATCCAGGTTGCTGTACAGTATCATCCAATTTTTTCCAGTCCCGATGAGAGGGAGTACACACGCGACAGAGGATGTCGTATGCTGTACAGATTCTAAAGCCCTCTCAGGCAAATCTGTGATTTTGGGCTATACAAAATAAATTGAATTGAATTATTTCTCGTCTAACATCACACCTCAACAGCTTTGCTTTTTTTAGCATTCTTTATGATAAACCCTTTCAGTACAGCTCTGCTATGATGGGGTTGGCAGCTGTAGGCACACCATTAATATTTTCTTGTTGTTTTAGGTCCTCTGACACTGCTAAATTATTCACTTTCTGCTAAATTACAAAAGTAGAACTAGAAGCTTTACAGTTTGACATTTTTGTGAGTGAAACAACAAATGGAGAAGAACAGATTTTAGAAGCATCAAAAGCTAATGATCAAATGCACACTCAACAATAGTTGGCATTCGAACTGCCTGAAACGAGCCATTTACGACAAATTTGTACAGTTAAGTTAAGAGAGTTTGATGAATGCATTCACACAAGCAAAGAACATAATGTAACAGGACGGTACGGAGGACACAGAAATGAGTGGCAGCGCAGCAATCACAGGCAGAGTCAGTTCTACAGGTTTTTAATCAAACAAACTTCAACAAAGACAAAACAACAGGAAACCTAGCTCAGTCCAGAGCTCTATCAATCAACTACACAAACTAAACTATATCAGCCGGGCCGCTAGCCGACTTAATGATCTTCAACCCTGGAGATCTTAGGGAGAAGCCACTCTTCTCCTCTTGCTGCATGTTCCCCCTGTTCAGTTTCCCTCCTTGCCCTTTGTTCACCTCCCTGATGAGGAGATCAGGATCAGGTATGTCTCTTCCCACACCTGATCTCAATGCTCTCCTAAAGGAGTGGGTGGAGCCTTCTGGCTGGAATGTAGATTCCAGCAACTACCCTGCCCCTTACAATAAGAATATGAAAATGTTGTATTGATCGATGTCACAAATTGAAAACAGGACATTTTTCTTAAATAATGAAAAGTTATATTGATATTGTGGAGCTGCTTGGACAGCTCCTGCTTCGAGTGATACCAGCCTATGTGTGTTATCAGCGGTTACCAGCCTCATAGATATGGGTTAGAAGGGGCCTACTAAAGATGCAGCAACCTAGAATGTCTCCTCCGTCCGTGATGTGGCCCAGGCGGATCCGTTACGGATCCTTGCTGAGACAAACAAACACTGGACATTCACCGCTGTTCGTGTCTCATGTGAAAACAAAAGTCAACGCTGGCCATTCTTTTGTAACACTTAACAAATGTCACTGTGGCGGTCTATTTTGTCCTGCCACATTTTCTTAATGACCCAGACAGATTTTTACACTTCTCAACAGCTGGGTTTGCTGGCTCTCTCTGCGCGCATTTCCTCTCTAGCGGTGTGCAGCGACCGGGAGTGGTTTGGCTTGGAAAGTGAAAGTGTCTCGCGGCTCTGGTCATGTCAGCTTTACAGCACCCGTTTCCCGGACTTAGCCGCTTCCCTTGAACTTACGGAGCTCCCTGTTCCCTCTGAGTCTGTTAACTGGGGCAGACTGTCCACAGAATGCAGTCTTTTGCAATGTCGGCAATCCACCAGACCAGTTTTAAAATAGGACTCTCTTTTACCATGCTTTGTGAGTGTGACTGTTTTGCAGAGTCATCACCATACATGTTTATACAACCACTGGTTTTATGATTAAGTTCTTTACTCTGGCACAGTGTAAACATACTCTGTTACAAGTGAAGGTCCTGCATTCAAAATGTTACTTAAGTAAAAGTACAAAAGTATTGTAAAGGATACTCATTATGCGGGATGGCCCATTTCAAATAACACATTTATGGTATTTATAATTATAATTATTGATGCATTCATTTGTTCATCACATTTATTGTTTCAGCTGGTAAAGGTGGATATAATTCTAACTACTTTATATACTAAATAATAAGCTATAAACTACTTAATAATACATCATAGTTTTTTAGTTGGTTTGTATTAAGAATCTGAATCTGCAAAGTAGAATAAATTAGACTACTCTGGCCTTCCTCTGAGATGTAGTGAATTAAAAGTATAAAGTTACATAAAATCTTAAGTTTCAGTACAAGTACCTCAAAATTGTTCTTCAGTACAGTACTTGTGTAGCCTAAATATACTTAGTTACATTCCACCACAGCAAGAACAAGAGCACAGCATTGTTAACAGGAGCACAACGTTTTTCATAGATCTATCCTGATTTTGCTCTCAAAGATGCATTTAACTTACAGGCGAGCCGTAGAGGGTATAATTGTCGTCTCACAAAATCCTGTGACAAACACTGTTCTAGTCACCATAACAACACATTTGAGGAATCACAGAATAATATCTTTGGTTGACTTGACCCATTCATACACCGATGGAAGCCATGCGTCTTACCCCTGCCCACTGGGAGCCTTGTGATACACACATTTTCACTAAATGCAAATCACTCATCAAGGGACCGCCAATTGTTGGAGCAAAAAACAGCAACAACTTTATTATTCTGTAAAGTTTATGACTAGGTCGTGGTCCTAGAGTCACAACCACTGATCGACTGGCTGGCTCTGTCTGTGTGTTTGACACGCCTGTGAAATGGAAAATCTAATGTTACATTCTAGTATTCTGTATGTATTGACCTGGTACCCTTCCCATCACACAGTGCATGCTGGACAGTTCAGAGTATCCTATCCTGGATGCATCTCTGACACTGAACTTTCCTAGTAAATCATTTTATTGTACCTTAAAACTCCAGTCTGACATTCATCATGACACCCAATGGTTAACAGCTCGATAAGAGGCACCTGGATATACATCACATTTTAGAGGGGATAGTGAAAACGTGCACAAGCTCCTGGTCTGTTTCTGGCCCTCTGTGTATCTGTTACACAAACACATGTAAGGACTTTAAAGGGAATGCTGTGATGCCTGTGTGTGGACGTGTGTAGTATGTCAGTTTGACAATGTGATTGTAAAGCTAAGCCCAGCTGACTCTCGCCTTCTCTCTCTGTCCACCACATTAAATAAATCCATAATTCAACTGTCACTGCTATACCCCACAGCAAGCTCTACCACTGGACGTGTATGTGTTCATTGTTTTCTTACAACATTTTCTTTTGCTCTCTCCCCACCAGGTAAATCCCTGTCTGCCTTATCACCTCCACTAAAAGTAAGAAAATCAATACCTGTGATCTGTTTCTTTCCCTCTCCCTTCCTCGTGCCCTTGTTCTCTTTCTTGCTCTCTATGGTGTTACACAGACACACACACACAAACACACACACACACACACACACACACACACACACACACACACACACATGCACACTATTTTTTCTTTGCTTTTATTCAAAAGGAAACCTATATTGACACACAAATAGACTAATGTGGGACTGGATGTCTGCATTGTGACGAGCGCTTTGACATAATAGAATAGGCAGTAGCTCATATGCACTAACATGCATCAAAAGCACACGCGATGTGTGTATGTCAGCAAATCAAGTTGGCACAGAGGCGTACATGGGCAAAATGACAGAAGCAAAGTTAAATGAGCCCGAGAACCTGCGCCTGTTTGATATCACCCGAATCGACTCAGTGTGTCGTGGCCTCCAGCGCATTTACACTTTTCCTCATGGATAATTGCAACTAGGTGCAGTAAAAATGGCTAATTTTACTCAGCCGCATACCTGTTTGGGCAATATTATTACTAGCACATTACATTTTGTGAGTCGGAATTTATGATGCTATCAGCGACAGCAATCCATTCTTTGTGAACTTCCACTCACTACAGATCATAGCAAAGTCAAGATATGCTTTGGGATTTTACTCTGAAAGTAAAGCTATCTTTATCCAAACTTCTTCTACCTACTAGAATTGATATTCTGTATCATACACGTTCACCATAAAACATATGTACTGAATATTAGAATGTTTCAGTGCTGCATGGGAGCAAAATGCTTTGTTTTCTAATAATGTACGCAAGAGATTTAATGTATAGGAGAGTATGGTGATTCAGACAGCAAGCAATCCCTGAGTAATCCCTGGTATTATCTGACATATACGTTAAACAATAAGAGCATCCTTTCATCCTTCTTCTAAAGTTCAGGTCAGTACACTTAAGTAGTAAAGAAGCATCTGCCATGATGAGGGTGGATGATGGGAACAGATTGTCTGTCAGTCTTTGGACTGAGGACATACAGGCAGGAGCACACAAATGCACACACATACATGTGCCAAGTCTGGCATTTAAGTTAATAACATGGAAATGAATTAGAAATGCAGCAGTCTACTGAAAGTCCACTTGACATTTGCAGCCTGACAAGAAAGATTTCTGATGATGTGCCAGGGCTTTCTTTCAGCCTTCGATGCTCTCCATGTCTTCACCATGGTAGCACAAAGTCACTGAGCTCAACAAAACAATCCTTCTCTAAAGACGTGCTTTTTCTTTGGTTGTAGGGAAAAAAGGGTAATTGAGTTATTGATTTGTTTAACAAGTAATCTATTTCTACAATATTTTTGTCTTCAAACCTTTTCTTTTATAAATGTGTTATTTTCTCAATTGTCAGGATTACTGCTGTAAAATATTACATGACTGCCCTCTCAATCTATTTTAGTCCCATCCATCACAAAGGCAAATGAAAATAATAATAATATATACAACAGCATATCAGGTACATTGAAGGCAAAAGTTAAATAAAACAGATGCGGGGAAGGGGAGTAATATTCTAGAGATTTTAATGAGATGAAACTCAAAAGAAAAAAATTCTCTGATAGTAAAATAGCATATCTACAAGAAGTGACTCATCATTTTTTGAGAAAAACAAACTGTAGTTTTCACTGAGATTATAAATCAAAGATGAGAGAAACAAATGCGAAAAATAGTCCTTCAAGTGACAAAATATTTTTTACTGAAAATGTACCATGTGAAAAATGAACTAACGTATGATTCTGCTAGCAAAAGAACAAGCTGCTGTCAACACAAGAGATGCTGCACCATGCATTAGGGCACCGATGATAATGGTGATAGCAATGATTCCCAATGCAACACCATCCTGCAAGGAGCTGTGGTGGCCAGCCACATTTTTACTTTGTGATGTGAATGGCGCATTTCTGTTTTTCCAGGAAAGATAAAAAGTTGTATCACACCATGATAACCTGTGATAACTTGAGCTGTAAAATCCTGTCTGTGAGTATTAAAAACTGTTGTTCTGTGTTTTAGTGTCTGATAAGGCGTTAAACACATGAATCTGTTACCCCAACTGGATTTCAGGATTGTTTTTCATTGTTTTCCCGTATCTTAAACAACACGCTCCCACCAACATAGCCTCCTGCTTTGTTTTAACGCAGGACTGTTTTCAGTCTAAATCACCACTTAGAAATGATTTGATTATTTATTTGGCCAACAACGTTTAGAGTGCATGTAGTAATTTGATTCATTGTTATTTCATAAAGAAAAAAAATAGAGTTTTATGGACACATTTAATGCCAGGGAACCTGAAAATAAGCAAGGTAAAGGCCTGCATCCATAAATTGGAATATGTGTCTAATGTTTCCTTAAATGAGGACATTGCTATTCTTACCGATGTAGCACAAGAGTCGGAAATCTTTGCAAAACAAATTCATTAGTGCAGGGCTCAGTGGAAAGATGTGCTACAAGTGTGTGTTATGGTGAAGATAAACAGGGATGGCAAAGGGAAATGATACATTGTAAGGAAACGATACATTGTAGGGAGGGCTCTCCAACAAACCATGTCTGTGATATTTCCAAAAGCACTTGAATACAGAAGTAGTTCCACATCAGACGCTTGGTAAAGAGGACCACCCATTATGTACCATTATGTTCTTCTGCATTCAAATGCCCTTTTTAGAGCTAAAATTAAACCGTAGCATGATTATCCTCCAAAGGACAAACCTCTCTCCAGACGGCACTGGCAGGTCTACTAATGGTAATTAGTGACCACATGTGGAAAGACCAGGGTAGTGATTTTCTTCCATCAACCACACCTGAAATAACAACACATTGTGATCCGCACCCTAAGAATGTCCAAGTGCGGTTCTACCTTGAGTCCAGACAGACTGCTATATAATTTCCACCATGTGGTATTTGTGAATCTCAGTTTAGAGCATATTAAATGGACTTTTACAGCGCATTTCTAGTCTTCCAACCACTCAAAGCGCTGTATACTGCATGTCAACATTCACTCATACACACATATTCATAAACTGGCTTAGTTTTTAGTGTTGTTGCTGTCAAATATCTATCAACAATATCAACTGCTAACCAAACTATATACACAGACACTTATGCGGACAAGCAAGATAAAGACTGACTGGATACGCTGAGAGCTCTCCTGTGATTCTCAAACACAAAAGTGCAATTTAAAAGACAGTGAATATGAATAATGTGTCTGCTTACCAAGCTAAATATTTTCTGCATGAAACGAAAGAAATTGATGGTATATTTTTGCATGCACATTCGTGTGGCAGGCAGTGAAAAAAGTTAATTTCAGACCTTGACCGTGCTGTGTTCAAGCTCCTAACTGGCTAGGGAGTCCGATTTAACTTAGCTCTTTGTTTATTGGTGGTCTTCACTTTCATTTATGCATTTCTCATTGGCTATTGAGGTACATCCCTTTCACAATAATCTCTTTTTGTTTCGGCTAAGTAGGCTGTGAACTGATCTCACATAAGTTTTTATTTATTTGATCAAAGTCCAAAACCACGCTGCTGCAGTCTCCCTTTAAATCCGTTTATGCACGACTATCAATTTTAAAATGAAAAGCTATAAAAAAACTATCCACCTTAATCCATTCAACTAAAGTTTTGATGAAGTTTTCTCTTGACTGCACACATACCTGACAAACTCTTTAAACAACTTAAAGAAGTTAAACAACTTGATTGAACTCCACTGACTACAAAATAACCAATCAGCTCAAAACAGAAATATACTAAACCCAAAGTGTCTTGAGAGTCCATTCATATACTTTTAATAATCAGGACTAATTTCTAAGAACACTTGGTGAACTTGTTTCAGCTCAAACAGCATACAATGGAAAGTTTAGTTTATAAAAATAATAACCTCAAAGGCAGTGTTAGTAGTGATCAACTTGAACCTGTAAATGATAAAATAGCTATAACTTTGTGATTCTGTCTAGGCCAGCAGAGAAGGCTTTGCTGGCCCCGACGGCCCACCACTGATTGGACCAATATATACATATCTGTGTATAAGGAGTGAAAGACTGTATAGCTTGATGAGGCCCGCGCCATGTTACTCTGGACTAAAGACGGCAGTTGATCTCTGCATAGGTATACTTTCAAAACCATTATCTTGAATATATGTGTACTGCATGTGTTTGCACATATGTTTAAAGGTCAGAACTAAATTACTAAAACATTGAAGAACCACTGCCTTAAACAACTGTGCTTGATGTTAAAAATATTAAATTTTTAAAAAATCACTAGTGACCAAAAGCCATGATTGGTACTTGGGCAGGGTGGACACATGTATTACTAAAACAGAAGTAGTCAATTGTCCAACTGCAAGGGTAAATATTGGGATTCATTGTCCTTGCTGCCTTTCTCTCTGTATTTGGTCCCACCAACTGTGAAACCAAACCCTCCATCAGATCAATATTCCTGCGTGGCTCACTAGGTGGCATCCCATTGGCCTGCTGTGTCCCAAGATGCTTTGTCATTGGCCTGCTGTGTGCCAAGGTGCTTTGTCATTGGCCCCCTTTTTCTTAAGATGCTGTTGATTCGACAAGACTCCTTGGGATCGCAGCAGTATTCCACCCCCCATTTCCCCAGAGGTAGTTGCAGAACTGTCTCAGCTGTGTCTGTGTGGTGTGTGGTCTCTGCTGGGTCAAATGAGTTGTTACAGGTTCTAATAAGTTGAAGACCTATGCAAGTTTTCAATTCCCAGGGTGAAGAGTCATCAGAAACCTGGTCATGTAAAATAAATAGTAGTTACAAGATGTAACTTCTGTTCTAAGGGTATGTATGTAGCCCTCTAACAGGCTTCACTATTGGGCAACCCCATCTAGACTCCACCAAAGCACCCAAACCGATTTTGGAACTCACCACATTCAGGAGATAGGAACCACACACTATAAAACACCTTTATTAATTCAGCAGAGAAATAGAACAGGAACCAGCAAGACTGTAGTTAGACG